ACTACAGCTCATCTGGTTTCTTTCATCTACCTATGAACATATCAAGCCAATCTTAATATATGGGAAGGAAACTGTGAGTTTTGCAGAAGTGACAAGCAACTTGATCTCAGGAGAAAGAAGATTAGGGGGGATATAATACTCCATCTGACAATGAGGTGCTTGTGACTGAAAGAGGAAGAAGGGCAACTCCATGAGTAAGAAAGTAACTTGTTGGAACTGCGCTCAGACTGGCCACGTGAAGAGAAATTGTCCAAAAGGTGGAGCAAGGTCAACTAGCTGCTTGGGATCAGACAATGCTCTCTCTTGACGAAGGAGGACGCGGAGGTGATGCTGTAAAGTAACATTGGAACATTCTCATGGCATGTTGCCAGTTGCCATGTTAGAGGATGTGTTCTTACTGGCACGATCAGCATATCTATACATAACATTGACTGACATTTGATGCAAGGTGTGTATATATGTGGTGATAGTGTGATATCGATGAATGATGAGCTCTCTAGAAAAGTCAATGGGAGAGTTGCACCATAACTATAGTAGGGTTGTGTCAATATGTAGCCGACGAAACGTTTGGAGTTCACGAATAATTCTGAGTAGTTACACTCATATGGTGGTGTATGGGACCGTTAAAGTCTGTCAAAGGCTTACCTGTTTTTTCAAGTATTGTGATTTAAAGTTGTAGAAGAGATGATAAGATTTTGACTCATTTTCGGCAAGGTGGAGAATCTTGGGCAATTGCCTAAAAAGTCAAAAGTTGAAGGACTTCTATTGCAAATAATAAAAATGTAGTTATTGTATGTAAGACTTCTAATTAAAATTGAGAACATAATCCTTGCAGAATTTGGTCTTCAATTTACAACTGGTTTTAGAGTCTTGCACGTGAAGGAATCCTTATTGAGTTAAATGAGTCTTGTTTGAGTTTAAATTAAACTCTTCTACTTGATCATTGATCTTATAATAGTAAATGTATTTCATTATTTTGAGCGTGGTCAGAGAGTTGATCTAAGAGAAAATTATTGTGAGTCTAACATCTTGAAACTTTTCGTACAAAGGTTAGAAAAGTAGGTGTGGTAAAGTTCGAATTTATTTTTTCTTTATAATACTTAGGTATTGGGTTGGTGAGTGAAATTCTATATGATTGTAACAATTTTTCATATAGTGAAAATCTTTGACGGTTTGTTTAATTTGTGCGTTATATTCTTTATTTTTCTTATTTGCTAATATTCTTTTGAACAACAAAAGATCCTGAGGGTAAATAGAAATAAAGGGAATTGGCGTAAAATTCTCAACACCTTTTGGGTTTCGGCATTCTAGAAAATATTTTGCAGTTAAAATATTTCTTATAAATATTTTTATCTATTGACAAGGAAAACATAACATATTATTCTTTAAAATATAAAAATAGTTTTTAGCATAAAAATTCGGATCGTTACAATATATGTGATATATTAAATCAATAACGTCATTGCGTTGCTTACTTTAATTAAAAATTAAATGAGCTCGACAAAAATGCTCCACCCATGACAAGTAATTCTACGCTATAGTCCAGCCTCTTTATCATTGACAATGTTATTTGCAGCCAAAGGAGTTCATCCTTTATTTTCATAATCGATCCCTTCGCTATATCAACTCTCAATGTAATTTAAGTGAACAAAATATTAAATGGGTCAAATTCTCTCATAAACATACATATTGTTGATCAAAATTGATAAAGAACAATGAGAAAAAAAAATGCGGCAACAAGATATTTCACCAAAATGCAATGTTTGAATATAATTATGAATCACCGTCCTCAAACGATATTTAACACCACCGGGATAAGCGCTTGAAGGTTTTTTATGACAAATAGTTTGTAGGAGTAATCAATATCTTAATCCAAATTTAAATCAAACAAAACAAAATTTGGAAAGGAACTTTTAGAAGAAATATTGAAAAATGAGTTTGATCTTTGATTTTGGAAGTGATTGAATGAATTTGATGTTAAAGATATGTTTTCCAATATGAAAACCATTCATACGTATAATATTACAACCTCAATGCACGAAAAGGTGTAAAAACCAACCATAAAAAGTGTGGAACCCTTCAAAACAACAACAGAATTCAAAAGCCAATGGTAACAAAAGTGGTTGATTGTCCTGTTCACTAAATTTGGCTCTATAATTCATAAACTTGGCAGAGCGATTACCCAAGCTCAGGCCATTTTCTGGCCTCCACTCGTTTTGATTCCGCTTGTCTTTCTCATGGTTGATCACTTTTGAATCACTCTCATAATATATGTTGAAAAATATTTTAACACATCTACCACTACCATACTAGGCTCGAGAATAGAGTTGTTCATGCTCTTAGTCGTCTCACTACTATACTTAATTTTAAGAACAATATTGTAGCGGGTATCTACGCTGAAGAATGGCTTTCCAAGTTGTCTTGACTTAGACATGACCTTTTAGGATCTTGTAGCCAGTCCTTCTGATGATCATTATGGTTCCTTGCTATTCACTTTTATAGACGTATGGAATTTTACTTAGGTGTTACAACTCAAGACCCAAGATCGACACAAGTTTTACAGAACAAAAATGAATAACCAAAAGCATCGAGTTCTCATTGATTGGGCTCAGAACACGCATTGTGCCCATCTGTACAACGTTTAATAGCTCACAAAACCACAGCCCAAACCACGACATAGAGGCAGTAACTCAGTGGACCGTATCTCTTCCAAAATACCAACACAAACCCTTTCAAACTAAAACCGAAGAATCACCAAAATTCAACACACTCAGAATCACCAGAAAACCAGGGGTTTACAATCTAAAGAACAAGATTCACGAAGAAGAAGAAAGGGCAAAGACACCAAGTCTTGAAGGAGAGAAGAAGAGACTCAAAAGGTTCTACACACGAAAAGACACAAGAAGAATGAAAACCAATGGGCCAAAATATCTAAGACCAAGTAATATAGAAGAATGATCATCACCGTAGATGTTAGGTTTTGGAGATCTAACGGTCCATAGCCACACACATGTATCATAAGATTTTGGGATAGGTTGTAGCATATTTAAACATTGCGTTATTGGGCAATGGACTTGTCGCATCTTAATATAAGGATTTCATCGTAACTCAAATTGGACTGGAATAATAAAACAATTGGCATCACAGCCCAATATCAGGAACTAAAATAACCAAATTAATACACAAACATATGTGGTGCTAAGCTGTGCGTGCACAACGAGCGTGCTGTGTGGCATACTAAGCACACATGTACTCAATTGAAATCCAAAATAAGCTCCATTATTCATCAACAACCTATACTTAAACAAGATGTGACTATTGAAATTTAATTTTAAATTAAACATTTTCCTCTTCAAAAATGGTAAAACGAGAATAAATAAAATCATCCAGTGATATAATATTCTTAGAGCTTCAAATCAGTATACATAGTTGTTGCACATGAGTTTTTGTTGTGCATTTCTTCTTGTCTGTCATGGCAAAGCCGCATATAGCCTGCAGGTCTCTAGTTTTTTGATAGAAAACATCTTAATTTGAAGCCACCTTGATCCTTAATCCAAAGCATTTACGTCCATGAACAAAAGATAAAGAACATCACTTTCATTTCTTGTGTATTCTTTTCTAAAGCACAGTTTGCCTTAAGCCTTAACCATTTAGAATGCTCAATTTTACGACTCACTTTATTTCTTATTTCTTGACCACTACAAAAGGTTGCCGTTTGTTTGAAGACATGATCACACTTTTGACAATTTTTTGTGCCTAATTGGACTGGTTTTTGTCAGATTTCTGCACAATGTTGTGAGGAATCCATTTCGTACGATAAGTAATGCGATCACAAGGAATAAAAGGGCCCTCTTACAAATTTATAATATAAATTCATAGAAACACAAAAGAAAGCTTTAGCATTAAGGAACAATCGTTGAAATATCTTATGGGGTTATCCCATGGTATATTCCCCAGAATTCAACCTCACTTCTATTCAGGAAAGAATTTTCTTACTTGGGTGGGATCTCAACCTCATATGTTGATCACTGAACCCGAGTTAGGTAAAGAAATACTAATAATAAACAAGGTTAGTACTCAAAAATGAAAATTGACGGCGTTATGTAAAAGCGGTGGGAGATGGGCTTGTTGTAGCAGATGGGGAGAAACGGTCAAAAGTACGAAAACTGGCTAACCATGTTCTTTCTGCAGAGAACTTGAAGGTATTAACTTCTTTCTGTCGAGTTTTAATTAACCGAATTTGAAAATAATAAAATTTTAAGAATAGACTCATGATATTCCTTTGTTCAGGATATGCTGAAGAAATGGAGAAAATATAAAGGTAAAGAGATTGATGAATTTAGGTTTTTTATTTCAGAAGTGATTTCCAGGACAGCTTTTGAAGCAGCTACTTGGAAGGGAAGAATATATTTGAAATGTTAACAAAGTTGGGACTCTTAGTTGGTAGAACTACCGAAAAGATTCGATTTCCGAGCATTGAGTAATTTTCCCGCTCTCTATTTAAGCAGCATATTAATGAAGATAAAATATACACGTCAAGCCATTAATCTTCAGGCTGATCGTTGTAGGAAAATTTTAGTTTTGAAGACAAAATGGAATCAGATAAGATCGAGCAATCACTTCAGAACTCGATACTGGCAATAGTGAGGAAAAGAGAAGAAAATGTAATGACTAAGGAAGCAGCCAATTTCGTAAGTGACTTTCTTAGATCACTCTAAAGGTTCACCATGATTCTGTTAAGAAAAAAAGAATATCGGTAGACGAAGTAATTGATGACCGTATGGTGTTTAATATTTAACATTGACATGAAACAACTCCAAGGTTATTGTCTTAGACTTTTCTTCTCTTAGCAATCAACACAGCTTGGCAAGAAAAAGCAAGAAAAGAAGTGATTGAACTATTTGGAAACGAAAATCCAATTATCCAACAGAGGAAGGCCTTGTCAGATTGAAGAATTAAGTATAACATCATTTTGAACTGAAATTCGCATCCACTAATAAATGCGTATCAGTGCATGCATGCATAAATACGACATTAAAAAAGTGACCAAGATAATTTGGTGGAATAGGGCCAGTCTTTTCCGCTTTTTGCATCCTTTTGTTCTCTATTGGGCCTCGGCTTCAATGCACTCCACTCTGCTCTGGTCGGACATCGACCTATTTATTCAAGTAAACGTGTGTTACGAGCTACCTACTACAACAGTTATGGACTGTAGACATGCGTCGGCCTGCAAATGAAGTAAAAATAGGACTCTTAAAGATCCTCAAGCGCTATCTGTGATTGAATAAATAGTTCTACAAACGAATGGATCATATCGACTTGGAAAATGGAAAGATTTGCACGAGCTATACAATTCATCACCACTTTGTGAAAAATGGTTAGCTATGAATATATTAGATACATGTGACTCGATTGTTGAAATGGTATGTATCCCTAAAAGTAGTTTTTTCACCAATGCAAACAGAAAATATTTTGTTACGAGTGAACAAGATATTGAAGAATTGTCCATACGTAAATTCATAATTATAGATATGGGCCTTTTCCACAAAAAATGGGATTCTTGTGCTACAAAAGATGTAGAAGTGGTGTGGATTATTCAAGAATCGAAGTTAATTTATTTTATAAAAAGAAGATGTCAATAAACTTCTATGAAATGGTTTCATGAAAATAAGCCAATTGTCTTGAACTGACGTCATCGCCAAATTACGTTCACTTCCACCTATGGTTCTCACAGTCAATCCGCAACATGGGGTGCAGATCATGTTTAAACAAGTTGGGAGGTAATAGTAGTAGCACTATGATTTCAAAAATCATATATTTTTCCCAAGGCAAATAGTTATTTGGATGGATTACCGATAAATTTTTTGTGCAGTGACATGCTCCTAGTTGTGAAAAGCTACTAGTGAATGTAGTTGTAACCTGATCATTCTTTTTGTCAAAAACTTGCTACGAATTAAAAGTTATTTGTAACTCTATAAAAAGGTGGTTTTCTCATTGTAGTTCTCAAGAAAATAGTGATACGGAATATATTATTCTTCCGTATTTTGTCTCAATCATCTTCCGTCCGTAGTTCTAAAAAATCTTCACAAATAACCCCCACGGACATGGTACAGTGGTAAAGTAGGAGGGTTATATATATGGAGCATCGGAGGTTTGAATCCCCGGGACAGCTGGAAGGCAATATTTATGTTCGAAGGAAGTTGTCCTGTGGAGGCAGAATTATGATGCACTTTGTCGCCTTTCCAAGGGTCCTTTCCTTACGTCATAAAAGGAGGTCTACAAGGAGGAGACCCACATCCCGAATGTCCGGTCCAAATGTGTATAAGCTGTGACCGCATCCGAATTTACCTATGTGGCAAACCGAGGAGAAGACCGTCACTTCTCAGGATTAGTTAGACAAGAATTGGACACCTGAGTTATCAAAAAAAAATAAAAAATAAAAAAACCTTCACAAATATGTTTGGACAATGAAGAAACGAACCACCACGACCGAACTAAATGAACCGACTTGAATCGAGAAGAAACGTTGTTCTAAAATGTTATTTGATCCCTCTCACTGAATTTAAAATAATTTGGGGACTGCAAATAAATAGTTTTAGCTAATTCTTCAAGTCTTAATCCGGATTGCTAAAGTACAAATGAAATCTGGAAAAGGGAACAAGAATAAAACTTCAGAAATTCTAAATTTAGGTTCGGAAATTGATAATACTTTGATTCAAGGAATTTGGGATGTTAATTTCTGCGTTATATATTTCAAAACCTTATTTAACGTCTATATTAGGACATTGTTTATAAAAATAAATATGTGAATGAGAACTGACATCTAAAAGCGAAATATCTTGAACTGCATTGGAAATTAAAACCTATCATAGATTGCAGAATTATTAACTAAAATTAAAATAATTTTAGGTTCTTGTTTCAATAACATCTCTATTAACATTGAATACAAATGGAAACTCTCAATGTATTCGTAAATGTACACACTAGGTCTCATTTAATTTTTCATTCCATGGGGACGTTAGTAAGCCTTTGGTTGAGCCATATTCTTTGAAAAATAAAAAAATAAAAATGTATTCTTAAATAGTGTTTTGACATGATTTCAATTAAATATTTTTCAATAAAATAATATTACATGCAAATTCAAAAATTTTCATTATTTTTTAACCACACATTTCACATCAATACACTATTCTAAAATACATTTTTATGATAAAAATGAGACTCAAATAAGGGCTAAATGTCATATCAACCTCGACTAGATGATGTTGGTTTCCTTGTTTCATTATAAGGTCTCAATAAACTAAAAGTTCAATATACAGCTAAATTTAACACATTAAACAAAATAAAATCTGAAAACTGGGGAACCATATTTGAAGAGCTTCACGTCAGTGTACATTTTTATTCATAAAACAAATTACTGTTTCATAGGAGTTTAAGTCGTACACATTTCTTCTTGTCTGTTGTGGGGGGGGGGGGGGGGGGGGGGGGGNGCTACATATAGCCTGCAACTCGGCGGCCTCTCTTTAGAAGACATCTCCTTCCTTAGATAATCCAAAACATATAATCCATGAACAAAAAATAAAGAGCATCATTTTCATTTCTTGTGTATATTTATGTTAATTATATCGCCCTGGCATCTTTTTCCTAATTCCTAGGTTCCCTTAACCATTTATAAAGCTTTATTACGATGCAGTTTTATTTCATGTTTGTTTGATCAGTACATAAACAAAGTTAAAATCTTGTCTGAAGCCATGAGCGCACTTCTGGCGGTATTTCTTTGCTTAATCGCACTCATTTTTGTTAGATTTCTCTACAAGGTTGTGTGGATTCCATTTCATGTACAAAATGTAATGCGATCACAAGGAATAAAAGGTCCTCCTTACAATTTTTTTCATGGAAACAACAAAGAAATTGTGAGCATTAAGTTACAATCCATGAAATATCCTATGGAGTTATCCCATGATATTTTCCCTAGAGTTCAACCTCACTTCCATCAATGGATGAAGTCATATGGTATGCAATCAACTTTCTCTCTAAATGTGCGTGTGTGGGCGTTTTAAAAAATACTAAAAGCGAGGGTTATTCTCTTAGCACGATAAAACTGCACGTACTGGGCAGCTCTTCACAGAGGCCTTACAGGCCTCTCACTGTAGTAGCGGGTCCCACCTGAAAAAAAAATATAATAATAATAGCAATAGCCCCCCATGTGTGTTACCTGGCGGGCCTCTGTACATGTAGTATCATTCCTCTGAGCAAATATGGATTTCTAACGCAGAACATCTTTTTCCCCTCTTTCTCACTAGGAAGGAAATCTTCTCTTACAGTCTTCACCTCCTGCTTGTGTATATCTTCCTATATATATATATAATTTTTTTTTTTAAATAAAAATTTAAGTAGTTAAAGTCAACTCATTCATTGAAACCAGGAAAGAATTTTCTTACTTGGGCGGGGCCTCAGCCTCATATGGTGATTACTGAACCCGAGTTAGCCAAAGAAATACTAAACAATAAAGAAGGTATGTACCCAAAAATGAAAATCAGAGGCATTGTGAAAAAGTTCCTGGGAGATGGGCTTGTTGTAGCAGAAGGGGAGAAATGGTTCAAAGTACGAAAACTGGCTAACCATGCTTTCTATGCAGAGAACTTGAAGGTAATTGACTTCTTTCTGTTATATTTTAACAAATCGAATTGAAAAAATAAAATAGTATCAAGGCATTCAAGGTTCATGATATAATTTTTGTTCAGGATATGGTTCCTGCAATCATTGCAAGTGTTGAAACTATGCTCCGAAAATGGAGAGATTACGAAGGCAAAGAAATCGATGTATGCCAAGAATTCGTGGTTTTGGGTTCAGAAGTGATTTCCAGGACAGCTTTTGGAAGCAGTTACTTAGAAGGGAAAAACATATTTGAAACGTTAACACGATTAGGCTTCATCGTTGCCAAAAGTGCTGAACAGTTTCGGATTCCAGGCATCGAGTAATTTTCCAGCTCTCCACTTAAAACAGGATGATGAACTACTTGAAATTAGTATATAATTTTTATTCTGATTATTGCAGGAAAATATTTAAGACCGAGTATGACATTGAATCGGACAAACTCGAGCGGTCTCTTCGGGACTCAATCATGTCGATAATAAAGAAGAGAGAAGAAAATGTAATGACGGGAGAAGCAGATAATTTTGGAAGTGATTTTCTTGGAGCACTGCTAAGAGTTCACCACGATTCTGATAAGAAAAATAGAATATCAGTAGATGATGTAATTGATGAATGTAAGGTATTTTACATTGCTGGACATGAAACAACTAGCAGCTTACTGTCTTGGACTTCTCTTCTGTTAGCAATCCACCCAGATTGGCAAGAAAAAGCAAGAAAAGAAGTGCTTGAACTATTTGTAAAAGAAAATCCAACATCAGAAGGCCTTGCCAGAATGAAGACTGTAAGCATAACATTTAAACACATATTTGCATCGATCTAATATGACAGTAATATTGAGTACGTAGAAAACATGCCATAAGGGCACGTTTAAAATACTGAATTGGACATAGATGAACATCTCATATACTTAGCTACTTTAATCACATGCTTCTTTTCTCTCGTTATGTGTTCAGGTAACAATGATCATCAACGAAGCCCTAAGACTTTACAGCCCGGCAGCAAGTCTCGTAAGAAGAGTGAAAAGAAAAGTTCGACTGGGGAAGTATGAATTTCCAGGGAACATGGAGTTGCATATTCCACAACTTGCACTCCACAGAAACACTGAAATGTGGGGAGAAGATGCTCACCTTTTCAAGCCAGAGAGATTTGCAGAAGGGGTGGCTAAGGCAACAAAGAATAACCCCATGGCATTCCTCCCATTCGGTTCAGGACCCCGAACGTGCGTAGGCCTGAACTTCGCAACAAATGAAGCGAAAATAGCACTCTCAATGATCCTTCAGCGCTATAAATTCACATCGTCTCCAAATTATGTTCATTCCCCTCTATTGATTATCACTCTACGCCC